TGGTGCTGACCGGAGGTGCGGGGGGGGAGGCGCAGCGTAAGGAAGGAGCCAGGACAGAAATCTCTGGGGCACTTCTGCTGCTGAGCCTTTGCACAGGATGTGCCCGCTGCCCTGTCTGCCACTCCTGCTTTTACATCCACCTACCATCCTGCTTTGGCCTAGCTCTGGCCCACCGCCTCCAGGAAGCCCTCCTGGCCTACTTCTCATCCTCTCCCTTCTCCCTCTGGCTCACTCAGCTCCCCACAGTTAATTCCAGGCCGTAGAGAAGCCCTCTGGGGGAGCTCTTAAAAGAACACTTTGAACTCTGGGCCCCCTGTGGTCAGAGGCTCCACATCCCAGGAGCCTGGCCAGGGTGTGTATGCTGTTGGTGCTCAATACATGCTTCTTGCACAAAGAAGCAGGAGGTTGCTCCTGTAAAAAAGCAGGACCACCAGCTGGCCTGTGGGTGTGTGGCAGAGTGAGAGAGAGGCAGGGCCAGCAGGCGCTGGCCTTTCCCAGCGTGGGGGGCTCTTCCGGGGTTGTGATGGACGCAGGGACTGAGCAGGGGCCCCAGGGCTCCGGGCCCCGCGCCTGCCAGGATCCCGCTGCAGAAGTGGCATTTTCAGAACCCGCCCTGTGTGTGAGGTGGCTGTGGTGTCCCAGCCCCACAGCCACACGCCCTGGGGCAGAGGAGGGGTTCCTACTGATGTCCAGAGCCAGCCCCTTGCCCAGTCGATCTCTCCCACCCACTGTGCTTCCCACTCATTCATTCGCACGCACACGTCCGATCTCCACGCGCTCCTGTCGGCCTGTGCGGGCGGATGGAGGAAAGCTCTCTTCCCTCAGCGCCCTGGGTCTCGCAGCCTGAGTCTGTCATTCGGCCGCTTTCCGAAGTTGCACGTGGGTTTGAATGGTGTGATAGTGTCGGAAGGCCAGAGCCTGGCCGCAGTCCTGGGGACAGTCTTGGCTCTCGCCGGAGGATGCGCCTGCCGCCCAGGCCCAGATGCTCAGCCTCCAGCAGGCAGGGCCTCCATCTCCCCAGCTCCTGGCCCGGGCTGTGTGGTCAGCGCTCACCACCCAGGAACGGTCTTTGTGATTTGTTTTCTACACACTTGCCCCCGCCGTCCTGTAACAGGGTCCCACAGGCACACCCCTGTCCATTCCCAGGGCCGCTCTCACTGCTTCAGAGGTGCCCGGACACCCCAGTGGTGGGCCCCCGCCCCACACTGCTCAGCCCTCAGCGATGACACCTGCGTTTTCCTCTTTCTTCCAGGTTGTGGCGGCTGTGGCACAGAAATCAAGAATGGCCAGTCCCTGGTGGCTCTGGACAAGCACTGGCATTTGGGCTGCTTTAAGTGCAGGACCTGCGGGAAAGAGCTGAACGCAGAATACATCAGCAAGTGAGTGGGGCCGGGCTCC